CCCCCTTCCTTCCCTTCCACTTCACCGGCCACTGCTGGCCCTCCTGCCCGCCCCGCACCTACGAGTACGAGGGCTGGCGCTGCGTCACCGCCGAGTACTGCGCCAGCCTCCGCAAGGTCTCCGACAACCCCCGCGATGCCTCCAAATTCGTCATCCACCAGCAGCAGTGCCTCTCTGAGTGTCCCTCCGGCTACACCAGGAATGAAAGCAGGTAGGGGAAGGGTGCGGGGGGGTGTTCCCCGCTGTCCCCCGCCCCGGCACGGGCACAGCGGTGGTGCGGCTGATGCCCCGTCCCTGTCCACAGCATCTTCTGCCACAAGTGCGAGGGGCTGTGCCCCAAGGAGTGCAAGGTGGGCACCAAGACCATCGATTCGACGCGGGCGGCGCAGGAGCTGGGGGGCTGCACCCTTGTGGAGGGCAATCTCATCGTGAACATCCGCCGGGGCTGTGAGTGCCGGATCCGGGTCCCCCCTGCTGCAACCTGCCCCGGGTGGGAGAGCTACCACGGCGTGCGGGGGGTGAAGGAGGGGGGGGTCTTTCCCTTTGCAGGATGAATTAATGGCAGGGTTGCCCCCTCCCTGAGCTCATACCTGCGGGTTGTCCCCAGATAACCTGGCCTCGGAGCTGCAGAGCAGCCTGGGGCTCATCGAGACCATCACGGGCTTCCTGAAGATCAAGCACTCCTTCGCCCTCGTCTCCTTGTCCTTCTTCAAGAACCTCAAGCTCATCCGCGGAGACTCCATGGTGGATGGGTGAGGACGGGGAGTGGGTTTGGGGGGGCACGGGTAGTTTTGGGGGTGCCCACTGCCTCCCTCTCCACGTCTCCTCCTCCAGGAATTACACCCTGTACGTGCTGGACAACCAGAACTTGCAGCAGCTCTGGGACTGGAGCCACCACGTCCTCTCCATCCCCGTGGGCAAGATGTACTTCGCCTTCAACCCCAAGCTGTGCCTGGCCGAGATCTACCGCATGGAGGAGGTGACGGGCACCAAGGGACGGCAGAACAAGGCGGAGATCAACCCCCGCACCAACGGGGACCGGGCATCCTGTGAGTATGGGGACGGGGACACCCGGCAGTGCCGCGACCCCCTGCCTGAACCCTGCCGTCCCCTCCACAGGCAAGACCCAGACCCTGCGCTTCATCTCCAATGTCACCGAGTCCGACCGCATCTTCCTCAAATGGGAGCGGTACCGGCCCCCCGAGTACCGGGACCTCCTCAGCTTCATCGTCTACTACAAGGAGTCGTAAGTGGTCCCTGGCCCCCACTTTTCCCCATCGTGGAGGGCTTGGGGACCCCAACCCACGGTGTCTTTGTGTGCTGGTGGGCTGCTGGACCTCAGGGAGGGGGTTGTGTGACTGGGATGGGGTCCCAGGACCCTTCCTGAAGCCCGGTGTGGGGCAGACCCTTCCAGAACGTGTCGGAGTACGTGGGGCAGGACGCCTGCGGGGCGCAGAGCTGGAACGTGCTGGATGTGGAGCTGCCCCCCAGCAGCGAGCAGGCGCCGGGGGTGGCCCTGCTCAACCTCCGCCCTTGGACCCAATACGCCATCTTCGTCCGCGCCATCACCCTCACGACCGCCGAGGAAGGACGCAATTACGGGGCGCAGAGCGAGGTGGTCTACATCCGCACCATGCCGGCGGGTAAGGGGCTGGGGAAGGGGCCGAGCTCCCCGTGGTGGCCTCCTAAAGACGAACTGACACCCCCCCATGCATTCACCCAGCCCCGACGGTGCCCCGGGATGTCATCTCCATGTCCAACTCCTCTTCCCACATCGTGGTGCGTTGGAAGCCGCCCACGCAGCGCAATGGGAACATCACCTACTACCTGGTGCTGTGGCAGCAGTTGGCCGAGGACATGGAGCTCTATGTCAATGACTACTGCCACAAAGGTGAGGGCAGGCAGCGCAGGCAGGGCAGGCAGGGCAGGCAGGTTGGGCGCAAAGGCTGAGGACAGCGGTGGGAGAGGGATGCTTCCACCCAACCGGGATCCAGCAGCGCTGCCAGCCCTTGGCCGTCTCCACCCGCCGGTCTGCAGCTG